TAATTTCTGTTCAAAGTCCATTCTCGTGTGTTGCGTTCATTATCGTACCACGGAAAAGACACGAATCCTTGGATGCCAACCAGTCTAAAGCAAGAAAAACTTCGATTCATATGACACAGTGTTGATAGCAGACACAGAAAGGAGACTATAGGAACTCGTGAAAGGCCCGAGAGCCAGTGAAGGTAGAAATATCAGAGTAAGAGAGGCAGTATGCGGATAGGTGACAAAGATAACCGTACACCATAGACTTGAGCAGGTTTAAGATTGCAGTAATCGGGGAAACATTTTCTTGCTTGTCGGTTCCACAAAGGAGTGGTCCGCGCGAATATACTGCTCTCAGGAACTTACGACTCACAGATAGATTATGGAAGATATGACGGTAGTTTGCTACAGTGCTAGTGGCATGACGAGTCCTAGTTGTGGAGGTCAGAACTGCCGTCGCCAAGGAATGCAGTTTGTCAAGAACTTTCCATGAAAGTAACGATAGAGCAGTTAGAGGCTTGTCCATCCCATCTCCGAGAGAGGTGTTGGAGATTGGAAAATAATTCGTCACCCACACGGACTCGGAGACGCTTTTAAAATCTATTTAGACTGGCCAACTACCGCCCAGATATGACAACAGTACTTGTTATGGGGTCCACCCCTTTTTCATACAAGTGGACTCAACCAATGTGTACTTGTACCGCTGCCAGTGAATACCCAGGAGTGACAGTTAGAGAGAGAGAGATACTCTGACAGAGAGATACACTGATACACTGAGAGTGTGAGGTTGTAGGAGTCACAGTTGCAAGCACGTAGATTCAGAAGGAAGTCATACTTCAATACTGAATTTCACAGGTTGTATATACAGTGTAACCCGGATATAAGAGAGTTGTCGGGACCGGAGAAGAAGTCTCTTATATCCGGGTTTCTCTTATATCCTGGTTTGGTCTATTATATATACATTAACACAAGCTCTAATTTGGGACCATAGAAAATCTCTCTTATATCCGGGTTTGGTCTATTATATATACATTAGCACAAGCTCTAATTTGGGACCAGAGAAAATCTCTCTTATATCCGGGTTTCTCTTATATCCGGGTTTGGTCTATTATATATATATATATTAACACAGGCTCTAATTTGGGACCAGAGAAAATCTCTCTTATATCTGGGTCTCTTATATCCGGGTTACACTGTATATTATTATTGCTACGAACCACATTTCTGGATCTACTAACCGTATTACCAATTGTATTATTACGTCAATACATTTATTTGTATATTTCATTCCTGCGTTTGTCATTCATTTGAGACCGGATTTCCTCCCGGAATCCACAACAGTACTCAATTTTCGGCCTGCTATAGCTCTTGTAAAGGTACAGATAGCACGAAGAATCAGGTTCTTTCTAGAGCAGTAGGGGGAACCGAGCATTTGCCTGCATCTTTAGTGATGTATCACATTTAAGTGTTCCACTTATGGTATGGGGTGGGTTTAAGGGTCCTGTTGGTTCTCCCAAGCCACAGAGTTCCCCTAGGGTGATATCCATTCATCGGGACTGGTGGTAGTTCGGTGTGCGATACTAGAATATAACTTGTTATGTTTTCGGGACATTGCAGGGGACCAGCCATTTTCCCTCACTGAGACAATAAAGAAAAGCGTGAACAAAGGAATAAACATCGATTGTAAGAAAATAGAATGTATAGTTGCCTGCAAATTGAACAGGCCATCATGCAAATTACAAATTAAAAACAGCAAAAATTAAACGGGACACATGTCACCGAAGTGTTTTTAACAGATGACTGAAAATGTGACACCGAGACCAGAAGGCTCTTTGGGATAGCGAATGATGCCTTCCAAAAGCTGAGCAAAGGAACAGAAAAATTTCGGTACTCTACTTACAGATGAAGAAGAGACTTAAAGCAACAGAAATCTGGTTCTACAGCGGTATGCTGGGAATAACATGGACAGAATTTGTTTTGAGAGAGAATACAGACAGAAAGGAGAGTTATGGTTAAAGAGAAAGTTGAAATTTCTATGGCACATAACGAGGAAAGATATCTTGGAAATTTAGACACAGACAAGACATATTGAACGTAACTATCTTGCGTAAATGGTTGGCAGTGCAAAGATTAGGAGAGATAAAAATTCCTAAGAGCTACAAAGGATAAGAAACTATGGACAGCGATGATTGCACATGTCCTCAAGGGACACAACTCATAGAAGACGTGAAGACAAGATGAAAACAAGAATTAATAGCAATTCACAGAAAATAAAAAAGACGAGCGTTATGATCGCCTAGATTCTGAAGATATATGACATTAAAAAAGAAAAAAAAACACTTTTCTGTTATTTTATTCTTTTACAGGATGCTTCTAAAATCTGCACACAGAAGCAAAAAGGCATATTTTCAAGACATGGAATTTTAAACATCTTATTGAATTGGGATATTAACAAATAACCTCTTCAAAAGATTTCTCTCATTTTTGATGCAAAGTTTTATTCGCTTTGCCAGACTCACGTAAACTCGATGCAATAAATCCACATTGCAGACAATTTTAGCAGATTCACTCTTTATGCGTTCAATCAAGCGTGTTGCAGCAGTGATTTTCATTGAGTACACCTTCTTCTTTAGCATACCCCACAAAAAGAAGTCAATTCTTTCTTCTTTCGGCAAAACCTTGTTTAATCTGCAGAGGTATATATATATATATATATATATATATATATATATATTACTGAGATTGCCTGTATTGGATATTAAAACGTATACAGTGTATTTAATAAAACAATGATCCAGGAGAAAAAATGAGATAAATTATAATTACAAAGTAAACTCCAAATCGAAAAGAAAGAAAGAAAACACACAAAAAAAACTGATCTGTTTTCGTTTCTTATTCTGCAGAGTTCAATTGTAGACTAAAAAACAGTATGTAGAGCGACTAACATTTGGAGACATGAATAAAATAAAGACATATTGATATAATGGAATATGCATACACCTGTGTTCCCCCTCACTGGAACATGATTGGCTGGTGTCCGTCATAAATACAGACGGACGTGTAGGAGAGTCAAAAGCCTTAGTCTGAGAGCTAAGTCTATAACGACGCCCATTGGACTACGCCATTGATCTACACTTCTTACCTGCGACTACGACGCGTACCAGTCGATTACTGCTACCGTATTCTACTTGGTTATTGTAGCCAAAACTACTTCGTTCAAATATAACCCTTTCCGGGACATATATATATATATATGGTGTTCTAATAACTTGAACCGATTTTAAATGTGAATTAAGTTTAAGCGTCTAATGATTTTTGGGGTTTTTTTTTTACCAACGCAAGTCTTTGTCAATTTCAATCATGGAAAGATTAACCATCGAACAACGTGTTAAAGTAATTGAAGCTTATTACGAAAATGGACGTTCAAATTTATAAATATACAGCCCAATGATTCCGCTAGCAAAAAATACAAACCAAACAGTGATGTTTTGTGGATGCAGTGGCTTTTCAACAATCTTCCTTGGATTTTCTGGTTATCAGTCTAAATGATTTTTAACGAATCCACGGGCTTCGTCTCTAAAGAGGATTTGTGCGAAAAATCTTCATCCATCTTGTCTTTGCTCATGCACCCAATTGACGAATGTACGGCGCTCTAAATGGTTAGCAGGTTTCAATTCTTTTGTCAATTGAATTTTGTAAGCATGTAGAGACAAATCTTTTGTCAAAATTCGATGTAGCGTTGTTGTGGAGAGGTACAATTCTTACGTATAATGACGAATTGCGGTGTCTGGTGCCACATTCTCCTGCACCGCAACAATGTTTTCAGCTGAACGACGTAAACGAGCACGCAATGGTGTTTTCACATCTGCCACCGACCCAGTTTGTTTGAATTTACAAACAATTTTCCAATTGCACTCTCGGTTGGTCGATTATATTGACTCAAAAAATCGAGAAGTACGCGAACTGCCTTTCTGTTTGAACGTCCATTTTCGTTATAGGCTTCGATCACTTTAACACGTTATTTGTTTCTTACTGCTTCCATGGTTGAAATTGCCAAAGACTGACGTTGTTAAATATAAAAAGAAAAACGAGATGCTTTGATAAGTTTTATATATATATATATATATATATATATATATATATATATATATATATATATATATATCATGTGATCATATAACTTGTTTCTTTTCAGCAGATAAATTATACAAAACTGTTCACATGTTGTTGTTTTTCGGATATACATTTAGCCATTTTCAAGGTTGAAATATGTTAATTGTTAACTAGAAATAGATTATTGTATGTGTGTATTTATCTAATGTTCCTTTTCAAAAACACCGTCAATATATATATTATATAAAAAAATTATATAAAACCTAAATGAAAGCACATTGTCATATTTAATGGAACTTTCATATATATATATATATATATATATATATATATATATATATATATATAATATAATATATATAAAAGGCTCAAACACTAATATCCCATAGTTATAATTTATTACATTGGAATCATAATCCATCCAAATCATCAGACCTAAAAATTCAAATTCTTTTTTGAACTTTTGAATTTGTAGGGCTGATGAATTGGATCGTGATTACGATTCCAATGTAATAAATTATAACCATGGAATATTAGTGTTTGAGCCTTTTATATTGATAATATATATATATATATATATATATATATATATATATTGTCCACTAATATTATCTCTCTCTTTTTATATATATATATATATATATATATATATATATATAGTTTTAAGATGTGCTATATTTATGGGATGAAGTCAATATCAAAGATAGAGTGTATGCAAATATAAATATAAAAGTGAACATTGAAGTCATCATTCAAAGAAGCAATCGCCAGGCCTGACGATTGCGTCTAGCATGAAACAGCCTGTCGCCTCTGAGTATTGACTTCAATGTTCACTTTTATATACATACATATAACTAGCTACCTAGCTAGCTAGATACATAGATAGATCTATCATCAAAGGCAAA